CGGGGCGTAAAATCGCGCCTGCGCGGTTCCTCCCCCCGTGTATTGTGTTTCGCTACTTGGTAACTAGCTGTAGAACTCGGATTTGCTACGAACATGCATGTGCAGCCAGCTGCAGATATAGTCACCTCTACACAAAACACGCTCTCCGGACATGCCTGGTGCGTGTCAGCGTCCGAGACTTGATCGTCGTTGCTGTCCAGATTGTCTGCAAAAAGCCGAAAATGATGCCGGAGTGGGTGGTTCAGGAGGGAGTACGCGTGTGCGGGCCTCGTGTACCCGTTGCGCTTGCGGTGAACGTTGCGTGCGTGCGTGTCGTGTCGTGGCGGCCTGGACGCTAGCCTGGGCGTCTGTCAATCCCGTGCGCGCTGCGGAATCAGACGTGAAGGCTAGTTCTATTTACCGTCTGGGTTGAAAATCAATTATGCGCGCTGTTCCGCGTGCCCGGTGGCTGCCCACCACGCTCGCCGCTCCCCGGCGCACATCGCGACCGCCATATTGTTTGCTATCTCGAAACGACCTTCAGATTCCTCGCTGATTGTGCGACAGAAGGGTCGTCGGACTGTTCGGCAGAACGCTGCGCCGCCGCGGCCGGGGAGATTCTATGGGATCCTTGCCAGGTTATTCTCTCTCGCGGTGTGCCTGGCACACGCTGCGCGATAAATTTCCCGTCTGGGCCGACACGTTCTACGTCTTGGTCGGGCTCCATCTGCGTGTCCGATCATGTTTACATCGGTCATCTCGATCTTCCATATTTATACATCCCGTCCGATCCTGTCCTCATGTTTACATCCGTCCATGCGTCCATGCACCTGTTTACATCCGGGTCCATCTGTCCATCATGTTTACATCGTTCCCAGTCTGGTCCATCAGCTGTATTATCAATCCGACTCCGTTACACGTCGGTCTGTTCCGGGGGTTCTGTCCCGGGTAGTGTTGCGCGCGTGAATCCTTTCGGGGGATCTTCGAGATCGGGAACATCGCCGAATAAATCGTAGATGGCTTCTCCTCATCAGAGTGTTCTGCGGCTTGTTAACAATGAATGTCAAGCATTCGAAACTGGCTTAAGGGGGCGACGGTGTGGGTCGATGCATCCATTCCGATGCGTTCGCTGCGCACTTGCTCTGAGCTGTCTAATTTCCAACTTCGAACGGTGGCAGTGACAATTCGTAGCGAAGCGGACGTCAATCTCCTTGGAGTTTGTGGTGGTCTTAGAACATTGTTGCAAGAGGCGTCTTTCCCTTGGCGTCTCCAATCAGAAATCGTAGGATCCGGGCAGCACAGTTCGGGGCTTGCGCGACGGGTGAGGATTTCGGAGGGTGGTAGCCACTCAGAACGTGAGCACATACGTTCCAGGCCATTTTGCATAGGCGATGGCATCGATCGAGGCAACGGGCCCCTTATCTAATGCTTCGTCTATGTCGGTTCACAGAATGAAGACGTGGGTTTCTCAATCGACGCGCATGCGTCGTGCGGTGTGGGGCGCCAGAGCCAAATCACAGGCAGTATCAGGGAAAGACCATGGCGTTGCAGTTCATTGCACTGCAAGGGTCTTCGGTAGATCGTTCCCGGGGGCCAAGCGGCGGAGGTAAGGAGGCAGTTGCAGCTTAGTAAGGGGGGCGGGCGAAACTTAATGTTCTGTGAGGTTCGTTCGCCTCCCAGCTGCCTGCCCAGGTCGAGCCGAAATATCGGTGTCGGCAGCGTGACAGCCGCCGGTTCTCTTCACTCTGCGGCTCCTACTCTCTTCCCCTGCGCGTGTGCAGCGCTCGCGTCCCCATAGGATTTCGCACTGTTTCTCCAACCCATCTAATTCGGGCTCCTTCCCGGCGGGCGCTCACGCTATTCGGGGCACATATAGACAGCTCGTCGGTAGACCGGTGGGCTGTCCCCCTTACGTGCGCTCTTCCTACCCTCGGCTTGATTCTGGCCCATTGCTAGGGCTCTTGATGGCGGAAACTTCCTCTCCCCTACCCCTGGTTACGCTGATTTCCTGGCCAATCTTTGTCCGTTCCTAGTCCCTTTTTCTTTCCTCCCCGCTCGCTCCACCATACACTCCCTCGCTAGCATTCCTCTCCATTTCAATTCCTCTCCCCAAAAATCTAATTTTTCTTCCGACCGGGGTCCCAACTTCCCACCCCTCACCCGTCTTCGCCTTCGCATCCCTCCTGCCTCAATCCCCGTGTCCTGGTAACCCACGCATTTTCCCTCCTCTCCCCCTTCCTCCTCCCCTCCTCTCCTCTCTCCTCCCCTCCTCTCCCCTCGCCCTCCCCTCCCGCGGACGACTAGCCCGTCACTCACGCGTCATTATGTGTGTGTTTTCGTGCGCAGGCGACAAGTTCCGTCTGGTGCTGGCGACGACTCTGAGGGAAGACGGTTACCCTGACGACGGTGAATACAACCCGGTCGACGATACTCCGAGCCGCGCCGACAGCTTCGAGTACGTCATGTACGGCAAGATCTACCGCATAGAGGGCGACGAAGGAGCGTCCGGCGACACGTCCAGACTGTAAGTAGCGCCCGGCGACACCTGGCGGCCGCTGACGGAATTAAGCGCCGGCGCGTTTTTTTTCAGTTTTTTGTTTATGGGAACGGGAGTGCGTCGCTTGAAATGTGTTTTTTTGTTTACTTTTTTGTTTATTATTGTTTGATACGGTCAGGAGTTTTATGAGATAAAGGAGTTTGACATGGATTTGGTACTGATTTCACTACATTTTTGTAATACGAGTTAATGCGAATTTACCGTTTGGCCTCGCCACACGACGGTAAATAACGTGAAAACCATGTCGAGCAAAAGTACGATTTATGTCAAAACGAAGGAAGCTACGCGGTTTGTAATACTTAGGGTCCCTATATACAGAGAGTTGCGCCATGACGAGTCGGAAAAATCGGTCACGTGGTCGCTGGACGACATGTTGTTTCCAAATAGATACGCACGGCTATGGTCGTAAGAAAGTGTACAATTAAATTATCATATGTCGCGAAGGATTTTAGTTACATTTCTAGAAATCTAGATACACATAGACACATGGCTTAGCTATAATCTCTGTAAATTTTGAGTTCATTGAAGCACGATTAGTCTAATTAATTACTACAGACCATTGTACAGCGTATCCATACAGCGCTGTACTTAAGCGGCAGCGGTGAGGATCCATTTGGAACAAAATGGCGCCAAATCCTGAGTTGGCGCAACTCTCTGTATACAGGGACCCTAGTAATACTACCGGAAGATAGAATAAGGACCAGTGAACAAAAGAAGCTCATGTTTGTATACATTTGTATTTTTATTCACATCGAACTTGTATGACAAAAATGTAGTGAAATCAGTACCAAATCCGTGTCAAACTCCTTTATCTCATTAACTCCTGATACGGTGTAATGTTACAAGATCTTTTTTCTCTGTTTTTACTTCTATGGTGAGGGTAGAAAATTTTGAACATTGAATAATGCATTTGTTTACGATTACCTGTTTACGTTTTGTCAATAAAGAAATATCGTTTTGTAGAACAGTTTAGAACACCAGTTTACCACAGTCGCTGGTGCCCGCGCTTGCACGGCAGGTGGCGAGGGCGTCCCGCGCAGAGATGGTCATTTGTTTTGTTGCTGCTGGTTGGCTTCTGTGTAGCGTCGGTGCATTGTTGGCGTACCTACCTCGCCTGTTGTCTCTCGGTAACGCCACGAATGATCCCGCTTCTGCTTTCGTGCAGTGCCCCCAGGTGGCCATTCGAACCATAACTCTCCTGGGGCCCGTTGTCAGAAACGAAATTAGTCTTAACATTAGTTATAACATTAACTTCCACTCGAAAACCGTTGAAACATCGCAAAGGTTTACGAGCATGAAAATCCTCACGGAAATTTCCGTCCTAACATTACGAGAGCCCAGACCCTCTCGTAACTTTAAGTGCTTAAGATGAAAATAAATACAGTTACACTCCTGAATTTATCAATTGACAGTGATGGTATAAATTTTATAATTAGTGGAGTAAATGTGTTTTCTTGAAAAACACGTCGAACATTAATTATCTACCCGTTCGTCAAACCAAAACAATACATTTACAATGGCGTATGGCATTTGTTTTTGTTTTAAAGTTTTGCCATGCTTGCCACGCCTCTCGCGTCCTCGTGTTACAGTGTGAGAATTTGTCTGTGTGCAGAATAAATTCTGACGACGTCGTTTTTAATTAAATATTATTTACATGTGGTTAGCCATCATAATATGCATAAATTACTGTGATGTGTACATAAATAAATGTGTATAAATTTGAATTTTGTGATCGATTCTTATCCACAGCCTTGTGATGAAGTTCCTGTTATCGTAAGTTTTCTAATAGCTGCGATGTGTTTCTGTCAACGCTCCTCTCGTACATTAACATTAGTCGTAAGTGTTATCTTAGCATTAACATTAGCATTATTTAACTTTATAATGTTTCTGACAACGTGCCCCTGATTGATAGAAGTCGGGGCGATCTCTTCGTACGCTCGATAAGCGGTTACTGCGTATTATCCGCAGTGTTCTAGTTACAGAACTTGGCAGAATTGGGCGGAGGAGAATGGAGAATGCTTGATAGTTGTGTCGGTTTGCGTTTTATTTCTGTTGGATTAAAGGGCGTGCTGCTCTCGCTGCATAAATAGTTACGCAGACAGACGTTTGCTAAGGGCTGTTCACCAAGTCGAAGGCCCACTTTCATAAATTTATAGGTTAGCATGTCTGGTAGTAAGATTAATGCTATTATCGTGAATGTAGTAAGTTGTCAGAAACTGCTCCGGCTAAGGAAGTCGTAAGGCGCTTGCCACAATGGTGTTAATCTGATTCTTGTGAAACCACCTCAATTTCCCACGTCTTTATGTCGTCCGTGCGTCGTTTGAAGTATCGTTGTGAACACAGGTCTCAATCGAACAGCAGACTTATAATATAATATAATAAAATATAAGGATGATGATGATGATGGTGATGGTGATGGTGATAATGATGGGGATAATGGTGATGGTGATGGTGATGATGATGGTGATAATGGTGATGGTGATGGTGATGATGATGATGATGATGATGATGATGGTGATGATGATGATGATGACGATGATGATGGTGATGATGATGATGGTGATGATGATGATGATGATGATGATGATGATGATGATGATGATGATGATGATAATAATACCCCTTTTATACTGCGCACGACTTTAGCCCGCTTCTGAAGCGGGATAACTTTAGCTCGGGATAAGTCGTTTTATACTGCGCACGACTTTAGCCCGCTTCTGAAGCGGGATAACTTTAGCTCGGGATAAGTCGTTTTATACTGCCGTTCTCGACCACCCGAGTTGCGTGCGAGACCGGGGTAATTGTCATGGTCACTGAATTTAGAGCGAGCTAAAGTTGAGATACCTTTTATACTGACAATAGCTCGGGTCTGAAGCGGACCTGAACCACCTCCTAGAGCGGAATAACTTTAGCTCGGGCTAAGTTTTTTCGGCTTTTAGTTTTATACTGGGGGTTACTCGGGTCCGAACCTGAAGCGGGATAACCCCCAGTATAAAAGGTGTATAATACTAATAGTAAAGTGTAATAATACTAATAATGGTGAAGCATAACTCGTAGACAGTAGTAAGTGTAAACTAGGAAGGTGATAGATTGCTCATCGACTGGCAGTGCTGGTTGGCGTGCCATGTGCGACCTCGTACGTTAGTCACGGACGCTACCCTGTCTGTATTCACGACCCCGCATTGACCTTCCCATGACCTCGCGCTCATGGTTAAAGCCGCACTATGCGCATCCAAACGCTAATTTCTTCAGTACTAGCAAATACTTCGTGTCATGCATAATCACTCTATCTTATGACAAAATGAACTCTAGTTCCTCCCATTTCACTGTGCGTTTGCTTAAAACCCACAAGAAAGAGGTGCGAAATCTGGCAATCTGGCGCCAACGCCGAATTGTTTGCCAAACAATTTAGCCGCGAATCGGTTAGGTGACGGCACATGTTGCTACGGGTTGCACCCGCTGTACGGTTGCTTGGCAGAGCAACCCGAACGTGTCAACAACATCGGAGAATTTGAACAACATTGGAGGTATTTTCAAATACCTTTTATAAGACAACGACGGGTCACAACGCGCAGTGAAATGGGAGGAACTAGAGTTTATTTTGTCATAGGGTAGGGTGATTATGCATGACACGAAGTATTTGCTAGTCTAGTACTGGAGAAATTAGCGTTTGGATGCGCATGTTGCGGCTTTAAGCTAGGCACAGCTGTGTGTCGTTATTGTGCTGCTGCTGTCTGAGTGTACAGACCTACCCGTGCGTTTAATGAGGATGAAATCAACGTGATAGGGGAGGCGGTCTGAGTGGGCAGCAGAGTCGAGGCAGCAGCAGCAGCAGCAGCAGCAGCGGCGGCGGCGGCGGCGGCGGCAGCAGTAGTAGCAGCAGCAGCAGCAGCAGCAGCAGCAGCAGCAGTAGTAGTAGCCGCAGCAGTAGTAGCAGCAGCAGCAGTAGCAGCAACAGTAGCAGCAGCAGCAGCAGCAGCAGCAGCAGTAGTAGTAGCCGCAGCAGTAGTAGCAGCAGCAGCAGTAGCAGCAACAGTAGCAGCAGCAGCAGCAGCAGCAGCAGCAGTAGTAGTAGCCGCAGCAGTAGTAGCAGCAGCAGCAGTAGCAGCAACAGTAGCAGCAGCAGCAGCAGCAGCAGCAGCAGTAGTAGTAGCCGCAGCAGTAGTA